TTCAAAGCTCCCTTCATCTGACGAAGGGAGCTTTGACTCTCAAAATTTGGAAGGCGTCACTTTCAAGATCAAGGACAAAAAAGAAAAGATTGACTCTGTTCTGAAAGCTCAAGAATTCCTAAGGGTTCAGCTGGGAAGACCAGAGGATGGGGGGAAAGAAGCGGACAGCAAGTCTAGTGGCGAGCTGGACTCGGGTTCTTCCGGAGAGGACTCTCTGACGGAGCAAGGGGCAGCCGCTCCAAAAAGTCCTTATAAGCTGCGGAAGAGACGAGGAAAGGAGAAATGAAGGCTGAAGGACTCTGAATTGTGCCTTTGAGAACTCTGAAAGGGGATGAGTGGGGGGTACTATTTCTAGAACGTTAAATTTAAGAGTTAAAGGAAAAGAAAGTAATACAAATGTTTGACTCAGTTTATAATAATCTAAATGAAATGAAGATTTGTTGTAACTAATCTAGTGAGGATCTCCTCTCTTGGGTTTTTAGTTAGTAGTGGGTTCTTTTGCTTTATCCTATATATGTAGCCCCCCCTTCCCTTTTTTCTGTAGTAGTTTTGTAGTTTGATTTTTAAAAAAAATCCCCTCCGGGGGCTCAAAAAAAAAATTGGTGCGGTGCAATATTTGGTGCAATCCATATTAAATTCCTTGTTTTAATGTTTTAACGGACTATTTATTGTTGTGTTTTTGTGATGCCGAATGGCCTAATTATTTCTTGTGATCTGCCCTGAGCCTGTTGCGGGGAGGGCGGAATATAAAACTGAAAAATATTTTTAAACCCCCCCAAAAAAGTAAAATAAAAAACTTATACTCCAAAAATCTTGTTGGTCTCTAAGTTGCTACTGGACTTGAATCAAGCTCTTCTAAGCAAGGGGTATTTCCCCCACTGTTCGTCCTACAGATGGCTTTATGAGGCAGACAAGATTGGAACAGCCGCTCTTGCTGTTAGCAGGCATCTCTGGTGGTGCACAGAGTATGGCTGTAAAGCTGCTGGCCTCAGGTCATGGGTTCAAGTCCCCCCAATGCCTGACTGTGATCAAGACGAAGTACAATCTGAACTGTGACCCAAGGGACATCATTCAGACCACCTCATACAAGTAACACAGGAAACTATGGCAACAAATAGGCCTATAGAGAAAACGCGAATATTCACAGTGTTCGATCCTCTGGAAAAGTTTGCGGAATGTGTTGATGGAGTAGACCAGTTCCCACCTTCCCCTTCCTCAAGAAGCCAGAAATTTGTCTCCAAACTTCTCTCTTGAGAATAGAGAAAACACTTGGTGCTAGGGGGTGTCAACAGTTGGAGGGCTTCTAATGTCCTGGCCCCACTGGTGGACCTCCTGATGGCACCTGGTATTTCTGGCCACTGTGTGACACAGAGTGTTGGACTGGATGGTCCTTTGGCCTGATTCAACATTGGCGTCTCTTATGTTCTTATGTTCACTGCTGGCAAAATGAGCTGCAGGGTAAGGGGTTCCAGTGATGAGGGGTAATTGAGCTAAAATACCTGTCCCCCCCCCCTCTTTTGTTGATGCGAACCTTAAGTGGATGAGGGGGAAAGAGATTATTTTTCTACATGGCCCGTCATTGCTGTAGCTTTTCCATATGTTACACATGTTGGCTATGAGGCTCTGACAACCCTCTGAGAAGAGCTTTGAAACATATGTTCAGCAACTTTGGTAAGGGGATGGTGGAGAAAGATCCACTCCACCGACACTTTCTGTGGCTTCTTTGGCTGGTTCCCATCCTCTGTTTCTCTGGAAGGGGAGGGACCTAGCTCGACAAAATGACTAGGTTTTACCCCAAAATAAAACAATAGGATATCTGGCACCACTGCAACTATAATTGCTTCCAAAAGGTTAGCAACTGTTTTTTTGTGTTTTTGTTTGAGATTCTAAAAGGATACCATGTAATTGCTTCCAAAAGGTTAGCAACTGTATTTTTGTTTGAGATTCTAAAAGGATACCATGTTTTACTTTTATTCATTTTTTAAAAACTTTTATTCATGAAAGAAGAGCAAAAAGTATAACAGGAAATATTCCCCCCCCCCCAGTGTATCACATTTTTTCAAGAAATTACTAGAGCAGAGCCAGAGAGATCCATCTCTTTCTCAGTTTTGGATAGCTAACGTGAGCACGGCGTGATTGTCTCATGTACACTCTTGCACATGTACCCATGTAGGCCTCCTAGATGCGAGCATATGTTTTAACTTACCGGTCCAGAAGGAATGTCACAGCAAGTTTCCAGCTCAGCATGTCGTGAATCGCAGTAAATAACCATTCGCTGAAGGTCAAACTGTGGGGAAAGGAAATGAAGAAGGTGAATTCTCAAGGGAAAGAATGAGAAATTATCTTGCTCAATCACATTTTATAATCATGGCACAGAATCGTCTGGATTATGCACAACACTATTCCAGTTTCAGTTCTGCTTTTCTCTTGTGTGAATCAAAACTATGCTCAGTCACATTTTATGTTCATGGCACACAATCGTCTGGATTGTGCTCAACACTATTCCCATACCCTTTTTTTTTTGCCGTGAAAATTCCAGTTTCAGTTCTGTTTTTCTCTTGTGTGAATCAACACTATGATCCTTTGTTTTCAGGCCATTTTTTGCTTTATTTATCTATTTCATTTTTACCCCACTTTCTGAGAAGACAAGATGCACTGGGGATATGACAATGATGCTAGGAAAGGCTAAAGGCCGCAGGAAAAGAGGAAGACCCAAGAGGAGATGGATGGAACCCACGGCCCTCCATTTGCAAGACCTAAGAATAGGGTTGCCAAGTAAAAAAAACCATCACCGGCGGGGGAGCCTCGCCGGACTCCGAGAGCTCTCTCCAGAAGTGACACGCGACGTCGACCATGTTGAGGGCATGGCCACAATCGTTGGAGGGAAAACCATAGAGTTTTCCCTCCGACAATCCGGGCCACGCCCCCAACGTGGTCGACGTGGTTGCATCACCTCTGGTGACGCAGCCACGCTGCACTTCGGGGGGCGGAGTTCCCCCGGGGCCCGATTCCGCAGCGGCAGAAAGCGGGCCTCCAAAGCGGGGGTTTACCCGCCCCCCCGCCTCCACTTGGCTGCCCTACCTAAGAATGGCTGTTAACAAGAGGACTTTTGGGAGGTCATTAATCCCTTCATTCTTGTCTCCTCTGTTTTATCCTAATACAACCCTGTGACGTCAATTAGTCTGAGAACATGTGAATGGCCAAAGGTCACCCAGCAAGTTTCCAGGGCATAGTGGAGATTTGAATCTGGGACTCCCAGGTCCTAGTCCAACACTCTAACCATTACACCAGACTGACTCTCATGTCCCTTTATTTTTGCACCATTTTCTGTTTCCTCCCACCATTTTTAAGAAGAAGAAGAAGAGATTGGATTTATACCCCACTCTTCACTTGGAGTCTCAGAGCGACTTACAAACTCCTTTCCCTTCCCCTCCCCACAACAGCCACCCTGTGAGGTAGGCGGGGCTGAGAGAGCTCTCTCAAGAACTGTCCTTGAGAGAACAGCTCTGAGAGAACTATGGCTTGCCCGAGGTCATCAAACAGCTGCAAGTGGAGGAGTGGGGAATCAAACCTGGTTCTCCCAGATTAGAGTCCGCTCACTTAACCACTACACCAAACTGGTTCACCGCCGAATATATACATTTTCAATGTTATTTTTGCACCAATAAATCAGTATGATACATTATACATTTAAATGGCATACATTGCACGTATCAGTACCATATAAACAGAGTAAATGTAGTGCAAATAAACCTATACACTAACAGCGATAACGTGGAGAATCAAAGCCATTGAAAAATATCCAAAAGGAACAGAAACATCAGTTCATGCAAAACTATGTGCCTAAAAAGCCAAAATCTTCCCTGACAACAATGGTGCTCTTTTGTAATCCATGGCATGTTTTCTTTAAATCCTTCTCCATACTGAAAAAACCCTTACATTACTTTATTTTTAAACTATTTGGGCTCTAGGATTTGACTTTGTCTAGAACATTCCGTATTCTCAAATATGGCAAAAGAGCACAGATCAGAAATGGCCCATGCCTCTAATGAGAGATCGGATTGCCTAGTACCTTGCAAAGTATCGGACACAAACAAACAGAACTTCCATCAGGGTCCATTAAAGACATCAGCATTGACTTCCCGTAATGCTCACAGTTGTTTAAACGCAATCGATGGTTTAGTCAATTTCAAAAAAAGGCAGTTCATCTATCACAACTCCTTTAATGGATTGGCAGCCCTAAAGGTCTCTTAAGTCAATAAAGAAACCGAATTTAGAACCAGAGAATGATGCCTTGGAAATCTGGTTCTGTAAAGCAGCCAGCTCCACTTCCCCTGCAGGCAAATCCACACCCCTGGCACTTACATCAATCGGCACACTGTCATAGAGGCGTTTGCCAATCACGGTCTTCCCTTGAATGTTGATGTTCTCTCTCTCTTCAATGGGCAGCGTCTGGACCAGTTTGCAGTCGATGTAGAGAGTCACACTGTCAGACTGGATGCTCAGGGCAATCTTGTGCCAGTTGCGGTCAAAGAGGTCGCTGACACGCCCGTTTCGAAAGACGACCCTCACCGCATCCTTGGTCAGCCCGATGGCATTGTACTCCAAGGCCTTGTTTTCGCCATCAAGTCGGATAGAGACCTTTAAAAACAGAAAGATCACTCACAGTGAGTGTGACGGACTGTCAAGGGTTAATACCTAACAGACCCTTAGAACCTTTGAGTGACAGGTTGTTCCAATGGAATTCTATGGAGAGGGACAGTTAAGAAGTGACAATTGAGAACTGACAGTTGAAGAAGAGACAATTAAGCACTGACTGTGGACTGGGAAGGAGGCAAAAGGAGTGAGGGGATCAGAGAGGATCCCTATTCAAGCCAAAAAGGGACAGAGCTTCTAGTCAACAGCAGTAATCCCTGCCCAGTGTAAACGGAGATGGCTCTTAAAAGAGGAGTGATCCATAATCTGTGTATACAGAAGGATTTTGGGAACTTGGTTGCATGTTCCTCCCTTCTAGACTTATAAGAGTCAGTGAAACTCAGAAAACTATGCTCGAGTGTTTAAGCAGAAACTGGAAAAAAAGCCTCTCTCCTCAAAGTTTCAAAAGACCTTTTTGAATAGCAGAAACACTTGTTGGCAACAAATTATCTAGAGCTAGTGTGATTACAAAGTTACTTCAGTTTTATTATCAGTTCACCTCATACATCCTACCCCTGATTCTATCTGACCTTTTATCTTCTAAGTGAGATAAAACATTTCATTTCTTTTGAACTTTCAAAAAACTTATCTTGTGCCATTTCAGAAGGTGAATATAAGAAGGTGGTTTTGTTTTCCCCCCTTAGTTCCCTGGGCTGGGCCAACATCTGTCTATCTGTCTGTCTGTCTGTCTGTCTGTCTGTCTGTCTGTCTGTCTGTCTGTCTATCTATCTATCTATCTGACTGGGTGGGAAAGCCATAGACAAACAAAGAAGAAGAAAATAGATATGGGGTTGCTCAGCTAGAAAAAAAAGAAGAAGAAAAGGGAAAATCCTGTGTGTGAGGGAGGGAAGATGGCGAGAGTGCCATAGTGAGACTGTATATACAAAAAAAAAGTTAAGCAATCCCCAAGATGGCGTGTCGAGGTGTCATGACATCTGGCACTGTTTCCTGGAACCCACTTGCTCGAATCTTGAGGAGGGGGTAAAATCTAAAGGACCTTGGATGGAAAAGGGAAAAAAACCCTAACAGTTGATTATATAGCCAAGTACGATCTTACTCTGGACAAGTGCAACACAGCCATGTGCCCTTGGCTTGATTTTAAACCCAGACTGTCTTAGAGTTTTGCACTGGGCAACTGATTCCTGTGGCTATGCAGGGAACACACATTCTCCCCTCCCCAAACCTGGTCCTCCATAGACTCCACCCCCCAAGATCTCTAGGAATTTCCCAACCCAGAGCTGGCATTCCTATGCAAGACTCATTTTAAGCTCCTCAAGTTTTTACGGAGCAAGAATCCAGTAGCACCGTAAGGACTAAGGGAATTTGTAGCTGGGTAAAAGATTTCGTGAGTCTCAGAACTCTCTTCAGAAACCAACGGACTGACGAAAGCTCCTCCCCTGCCACAAATGTTGTTCATCTTTAAGGTGCTCCTGGACTCTTGGGGTGATTTCCCACAAGCGCTGCTCCGCGCTCACTCTTCTCTTTTTCCCGTCGTGCGATTTTCCCCGTGTCTATTCAATCCTGCTTTTTTGAGGATTGAGTAGACGCGGTGGAAATCGCACAAAGCTGCGGGGCAAAATGCGGCCACACAGCAGCTTGTGTGAAATTGACACGTACCATCCGGGGAAAGGGGAGGAGTGAGCGCTGAGCAGCGCTTGTGGGAGATCACCCTTGCTCTTTTCTACTGTCCCAGACAGACTAACACAGCCACCCATCTTGATCCATCTGAAGAAGTGAGCAGTGACTGGCGAAAGCTCATCCTCTGCCACAAATCTCATTAGTCTTGAAGTTGCTCCTGGACTCTTGCCCTTTTCTACTGCTACAGACAGACTCACGTGGCGCCGGCGACCCGTCTTGATCTATCTGAAGGTGATACCTTTGTGTTTGTTTGCTTGTTTTTCATGCTCTGGCCAGATTTTTTAACACTGGATTTTAATTGCTATCTTATGCTGCTTTGTATTTTATTACATTTTATTTCATAAGCCATCTCAGGCCGTTTTCCCTGGAGTTGTTGTTGTTGTTGTTGTTCAGTCGCACAGGCGAGTCTGGAGTAGCAGTGTAGGATTTTCCTAAACATATAAATAAAACCCCTGAAACAGAGGAATGTTCTTCAGAGCAGAAATCCCAGCTGATACTTGTGGGCCATATCCAGACTGTGAAACACCTGTACACAGTCTTGGGTCATTCTAACAAGCATTAGGAAACATTTAGCAAGCACACCCAGGTCTCCTTTTCAGACTTTCTCCTCTCTTTTGGACCCAGCTGCAGGTTCTTGTTCCCAAAGTGGAGGTACCACATTAGGAATTTTCCTTTCTTCTGGGTTATTTTTTACTAATAAACTTTGGCCCCGATCACACGGAAGGTTTTGGGCCGGATGAAGGACGGATCGGGGGCGCAGCAAATGGATTACATTTTATTTCATAAGCCATCTCAGGCCGTTTTCCCTGGAGTTGTTGTTGTTGTTGTTGTTCAGTCGCACAGGCGAGTCTGGAGTAGCAGTGTAGGATTTTCCTAAACATATAAATAAAACCCCTGAAACAGAGGAATGTTCTTCAGAGCAGAAATCCCAGCTGATACTTGTGGGCCATATCCAGACTGTGAAACACCTGTACACAGTCTTGGGTCATTCTAACAAGCATTAGGAAACATTTAGCAAGCACACCCAGGTCTCCTTTTCAGACTTTCTCCTCTCTTTTGGACCCAGCTGCAGGTTCTTGTTCCCAAAGTGGAGGTACCACATTAGGAATTTTCCTTTCTTCTGGGTTATTTTTTACTAATAAACTTTGGCCCCGATCACACGGAAGGTTTTGGGCCGGATGAAGGACGGATCGGGGGCGCAGCAAATGGGTGCGATCTCACCGCAACATCTGGGAAGCGGTGCGCACCCATCCCCAATCCGGCCCTTCAGGCCGAAAATCCGCTGGGAAAAAAACCACCTCCAGAGCAGGACTTACCGGAGATGCCACAGCAAGCGCGGCCATCGGATCGCCCGAGCACCCGTCTTCCGGAGCAATCGAGGCTCCCAGCCTAACTACGCATGCGCACACATGCACAGCCGGCGGCCTTGTGCTCCATTCCGTGGCTTTCTCCCCAGCATCTGATCATGCCGGGGAGCAACTGCACGGTGGCTCATGGGATCTGTGTGATCCCGCTGCCGCGTGTCTCTTTTGGTGCAGCTTTCAAAAGCCGCACTTTGCCCGCGCCCCCCCCCCCCCGTGTGGCAGGGGCCTTTGTACAGAGCCCTGGGTATGTGCTGTTCTATGCAGATTTCCATTCGTTTGCGTCTCTTCGACACCCACCGTCTCACCTCTGCCAGTGGCCTTAGGCAAGCGACTGTCAATCAGCCTTAGACGTCTATCTACAAAATAGGGACAAGAATAGCAGCCTGCGAGATCATGGCCCGGACCCTGGTGGTGTAAAGTGCAGTCAAGTCACAGCCGATTTATGGTGATTCTGTAGGGTTTTCAAGGCAAGAGACGAGCAGAGGTGGTTTGCAATTACCTTCCTCTGCCTAGAAGCCCTAGATTTCCTTGGTGGTCTCCCATCCAAGTACCCACCAGGGCTGACCCGGCTTAGCATCTGAGATCTAGGGTTACCGGCCTCCAGGCAGCAGTTAGAGATCTCCTGGAGTTGCAACTGGTCTCCAGACAACAGAGATACGTTCCCCAGGAGAAAATGGCAGTTTTGGAATGTGGACTTTTTGGGTATTACCAGGGGTCATTTCCTGCGGGAGCGCACAGGAGCGGAGCTCCGGCAGTAAGGAGCCCAAGAGGCAGGCACATGCAACAAGCCCCACCCCCTGCTCCCAGCAGCCCTCAGCCCTCTGCCAGGTAAGTTGCAGAGCCCTCCCCGGCCCGCCTTCAAGTACAAGCTCTCCCTCCTCTGCAAGGACGGATCTGCACGTTCCTCCCCCCCCCCCAATAGCTAGCAATCCAAAACAGTCCAGTGGAGCCTGAGCGGTGGGTGTTGCCTTCTGACACACTTCCAGTGATGTCAGGGGGCATGGCATATGCAAATAAGTTATGCTAATAAGTTATGCTAATGAGCTCCTGCAGCTCTTTTTCTACGAAATGACCCCTGGGTATTACCCACTGCTAAGGCCCCTCCCCTCCCCAAAAGCAACGCCCCCCAGGTTCCACCTGCAACATCTCCAGGAATTGTCTAACCCAGAACTTGAAACCCTAACAAGATCTGATGAGATCAGGGTAGCCTGGGCCATCCAGCTCATGACTGGCCGGTACCATACCACTCCACTAAGTGGACTTTTAAGCCCTTCTCCAGCCGGAAGAGCCTACCTCCTACTGAAGATCATTGTCCAATGGAACAGCTGGAAGAAGAAGAGGAGGAGGAGGAGGAGGAGACTGGATTTATACCCCGCCCTTCACTCGGCGTCTCAGAGCGGCTTACAAACTCCTTCCCTTCCCCTCCCCACAACAGACACCCTGTGAGGTGGGTGGGGCTGAGAGAGCTCTGACAGAAACTGATTTGAGAGAACAGCTCTGCCAGAACTATGGCTTGCCCTAGGTCAGTGGTGGCGAACCTATGGCATGGGTGACAGAGGTGGCACTAAGAGCCCTCTCTGTGGGCACCCGTGCCATCGCCCCAGCCAGGCCCAGACCATCATTAAAGTGTCGAATTCTCTGCCAAATAATTTTAAGTAAATGAAAGCATTTGGGATTGCTTTCCTTACTTTGTTTGGATCATCTTAAGTTAATGTATGAGTTGTTTTTTCTAAAGTAAAACCT